CTGGTTGAGGAGTCAGTGAAGGTAGGAACTTAGACGGAATGTGGTCCACACGCTCTGGAGAGGCTGGGTGAGGAGGAAGAGGTGGGTGACTGCGGGCGGTAGCCAGGCAAACACAAACCCATGTAAATGCTGAGGGGAAGCAACCAAGGGAGAGACACGGGCAGCCTAGTGTCCGAGTTTGCCCAGCTCTTTCCTGGTTGGCACGGCAAGTCCCACCTCCTGGGAGTCCCCAGTCCTGAGAAAACTGGGAAACTGGGAGGGTTGGTCACACTCCTCTCCCCCAACCAGGGAACAGTTACAATACAGAAGAGGATGGAGGGAAGGTGGGTGGAGGGGGCAGCCCTGGCGAAGACGGTACAGGCACAGAGAAGTCTGAGAGAGGCCTCTGCTGTCCCCGTGAAGGGGCAGGGCCATCTGAGGGAGTAAATGGGGAGGGGCAGGTGGCAGGGTGCTGAGGAATGTTGGGCACAGCTGCCTGGAGGCCTTGCTTTGTAGGGGCAGCCAACACAGGAAGTGGTGGGTCTCTGTCCAGCAGAACTGTGGCCTACCTTCTCCGTGTGCTGCCCCTCCCTCCCCATAACGCATCTCCTGTCTGTCTCCGCAGTCCCCACCCCGTGAAGCCGCTCAGTGCTGCCCCTGTGGAGGGCAGCCCCGACAGGAAGCAGCCCCGCTCCAGCCTGAGCACCGCCCTGAGCAGTGGGCTGGAGAAGCTCAAGACAGTCACGTCCGGCAGCGTGCAGCCTGTGGCGCCGGCCTCCCAGGTCGGCCAGACCGTGGACACCAAAAGGCTGAAGGTGAGGCCTAGCGGGATGCGTGGGGGTCAGTCAGATGTGTGCTGGGGGGAGAGGGATTCAGAAACAGGGTGCTGGGCAGGGTGCAGCGAGGAGCAGGCCTGGTCCCGTGCCAGAGCCCGGAAGCCAGTCAGGCCGTTTCTGGCATTGGCGACAGGCAGCTCCGGGGCCGGTGGTGGTGTAACTGGGGTGTCGGTGGCCAGGCAGGCAGTTAGGCCTGAGGGTGCCCTGCTCACTCTCGTTCCATCCGCCCTCAGGATGCTGGTGTGCTGGACCAGTCCGCCAAGTACTACCACCTGACCCACGACGAGCTCATCAGCCTGCTCCTGCAGCGCGAGCGGGAGCTGAGCCAGCGGGACGAGCATGTGCAGGAGCTGGAGAGCTACATTGACCGGCTGCTGGTGCGGATCATGGAGACCTCGCCCACACTGCTGCAGATCCCCCCTGACCCCCCAAAGTAGCCCTCTCACCCCCACCCCCCAGGAGGGTGGGCGTGGACCCATTGTTCAGGCAGGGCTCACATCCTCC